CCTGGAACAGACTAGAGTTGTCCAGGAAAAGTCATGATCCTTCTAGAAACTCCAGCGTCGCGTGACTTCCGCTCTCGTAACAATATATATATATTATGTCGGTATTATTTACATACATGATTTTATAGTACCATGTCGAATAAACTGAATTGAATATCTCCCCTTTGACACTTATAGAAATGACAATTGTCAAAAAGCGCCTCCTTTGGTAGCGGTCTTTTCTTGCACCCAGTGAAATGATAAGGAACGCTGACAACCAGCGGAATATATTCCCGTCGCTAGATAGCGAACCTGAGTGCTCTATTATGCTAGATGCACCCATTGCATCTAAATCAACGGACACATGCCAGTATTTACATAACAATCTAGTGATCGAGTATCAAGACGATGAGAAAACTATTTAATTCTGGTAAACGTAAATGAAATACTTAACCAATTGCTTTCAAATATTTTAACTTATTTAGTAAAGGTAATACTGCCAAACAGAGAAATATAATAAAACTAGAATGTTACAAGTTTAAGTTTTGAACAGATCTCATTAACATAAAACAATCATTATTTACGTTTACCGAGCAACAAATCTTCGAAAAACCTGTTAGCCAACACTAGCGTCTTCTCTGAAAAATATCTAAGATAAAAATTATTTAAATATCAGAAACCATATGCAAAATCTACAGAAATGGCAAATGTTATTAATTTCTATATAACTGAAAACTAAAATATGTGTATTAGTACACGCAACAATGTGAAAATAAGACTCAGACCTGTGGTGTAATTATTATTATTATGGTAGAAGAATCTTAGTGGTTGTTTGAATGGTCTGCTACAACTGTGTATACGAGTCAAAATCGAAAAATGCTGGTTTTATACAAAATAAACCTATCACATTTGATACGAATCTAAGTAATATGTAGACAAGTTATTTAAGCCAAAAATTCACATTTCTTAGCCGTAGGGAATTTTTTTGTACAATTTAAATAGTGTTTTGACAAGTATAGTTTGTGATA